ATTGTAAAAATAGAAAATGGTGTAAGATGTGTAGTTGTATTTAACAGACAGATTATATGTTAGTTTTAGGCTTTACTTATAAAGTAGAGCTGGAGTATTTGGCTCATACTCACCTGCTTACAGACGGGATTTTTTTGCAGGATTTATGAAGCTGAGATTGAGGAGATAGACCGAGACAACGGCACTGCAGCCGTTACCTTCACTGGATATGGGAATGCTGAAGTGATTCCTCTACAGAACCTCAAGGCAGTAGAGGAAGGAAAGCTTTTGGAGGAGGATGGGAGTGTAAAGCCAAAGTCGAGGTATGAACAAACTCTTCTCTAACTCACTCAATGAAGCTCTGTGCATATAAAACTGAACTTAAATCAAGGACAGGAATGGGAACAACTGTAATCAACCATACGGACAATTGAGACACAATTAAATGATTTAAAGCTTTAGAACTAACAACACAAGAACTTTGAAGAATTGGTGCTGCATAACTCAAAAAGGTAATTGAAGCTGAACTTAGCTTAGCTCAGTGGTTCCCAAACCTTTTTTGCTGGGCCCCTCTTTGTTTTACAAGAATAGACAGGGGGAACAAATCGTGGCAGGATGAGCCTGATATTATTTGTATCCCGCTGTAACTTTACTGTATAAAGAGCTAACATCTCCAAAATGTCCAGAGTAGTTAGTCATTACAACAAGAGCTTGTGAACCAAAAATCAAGAATGTGGGATACTGTTTGTCTGTGGTTTGAAGAGCCCAGCACGTGCTCCCGACGCAAGGGAAACCAATTCTGCCGTTGAGACCTACCTCGGCACTTGTGCAGGTGAAACCAAAGGGAAGATATGCTTCACCATATTTTCTAGTCTTTGGCTTAGAATGAAGTTGGTTTGGAAACATATTCAGCGATGCTTCATCTCCTGCTTTGCGTTTCTGTGGGCGCCCCGTGCTAGCAGTGTCCAAGCGTTGTTTTGTTTTTGTTTGTTTTTTTCCCTTTTCATACTGCGCCGGGCCCCACACTTTGGGAAGGTCTGGCTTAGCTAATCTTATTAAAAGAAAATACCAAAATTAAACTTAACTGCATGCTACTTAACACAAAAGGATGTAGCGCCATTAGAAAAAAAGTTTGTTAGGAAAAAACAATATAGAATTTTCCTATCAAGCTATGAGTAACTTTTGCATCAACCGTACAGAGCAATGAAAAAGAACAGCAAACTGCTAACAGTAAATTATAGGAGCCTAAAATGATAGTTCAGCAGCCCTGAAGCAGCTGAGGCTACTAGTGTTGACGCTTGACTGGAATGTGGGACTGAAGTGGTCCAGTCAGTTGTTTCGGAAGGCAGGATGAGAAACAAGTGCAAGTACACATCAGTAGCAGGGGCCTGCGCACACTAATTAGTCTATAAAATAGGTAAAGAGGGACTACATATGCAAATTAGCTTAAGCTAACTCTGGTACAATGCCTGGAATGGCAACATTTTGTTAATATTGTACATGTTACCTTTTCAGATAAAATTAATTATTGATGATGATGATGATACTGATAATAATAATGATGATGATGGTGGCACAAGGGGAAGGAGTGCATTGACCCAGGAGTCAATGCACTCCTTCATAAAAGGTATGTCATAGTTTCTGTGTCAACAGGTGTGCTTGGGTGTGTATGTGACATAAATTTAGTCATAAAACTGTGAGCTTGCGCCTCCCTGAAGATAACCATCTAAAGATTGCACTACACTGTACCATCAAGAAATGATAATTTTCCTGAACCACGGTCACGGGGGTGATCATGGTTCAGGGAATTATCATTCCCTGACAATGACCGTGGTTCAGGGGGTTGGGTCTGGAAGCTCATCTTGTAACCGAAAGGTTGCCGGTTCAATCCCCAGCTCTGTCTGTAGCTGGTTGTTGTGTCCTTAGGCAAGACACTTCACCCTACCGCCTACTGGTGTTGGCCAGAGGGGCCGATGACACGATATGGCACCCTCACTTCTGTCAGTCTGCCCCAGGGCAGCTGTAGCTACAACTGTGGTTTGCCTCCATCAGTGTGTGAATGTGAGAGCGAATGAATAGTGGAATTGTAAAGCACTTTGAGTGTCTAGAAAAGCGCTATATAAATGCAATCTATTATTATTATTATTATTATTATTATTATTATTATTATAAGAAAACAATAGGAAATTCTACTATTATCCATGAAAAAAGTTTTTTCTCATTTAATCATCAGTTTAAAACGGTGCATATACCTGTAACAATTAGCTTTATTAGTAGAGACACATCAATCTCTACTAATAAAGAAGAAAGTAGAAAAATAAGATTGTTTCTATAAACAAGAGCTAAAATTCGAGGGACCGGAACTGGCAAATTTCCAGTATTCCTGTTCGGGAGTCGTCATTAATTGGTCATATGGCTGATTAAGAACTGGTCTGCTTCAATCATACACAACTTGCGCACAGCAGCGCAGACAAATAGTCAATTCTGCAGTCACAGCCATATGCTAACAAAGCATGAAAGTAAGTTTGCCAAAGACCACCGTGAAAACCTTTGTAACAACAAACCTAATCAGACAGCTAAATGTGGACACTCTAAGGAAGTTAACAGAGGGAAAGTAGCTCAAAGTATCAAGGACTCAAAGCCAGCCACAAGACAGCAGTCTCAGCAAGAGCAAGGGATTTAAGCTGTTAAATAGAAAATGGTGGAGATTAATATAAACAAGAAAAGGGACAGTGTCCTGCTACCAGGCAAATTTATAGGCACATTGTAAAATGATGCAAGTATCTGAAAGTCTTTTGCTGAATAGATCTGCTGCACCTGCTTGTGGTTGGTAAGGTAAAAGGAAAGGAAAATTCCCCCATTTAATAAGCTCTTTATTATGAAATATGTTTTGTGTTGGAGAAAATGTTATTTTTTCTGTGTAAATGCTGTCAGTTACAATTCTGAGAAAGAAAATTAGAATCGGGGGGAATCTGTATTGACTCACTCTCTCTCTCTCTCTCTCTCTCTCTCTCTCTCTCTCTCTCTAGGAAAGAGCAGATAGCAGAGCAGAGGGAGTATAAAAAGAAGAAAGCTCAGAAGAAGGTACAGAGGATGAAGGAGCTGGAGCAAGAACGAGAGGAGCAAAAGTCAAAGTGGCAGCAGTTCAACAACAAAGCCTACTCAAAGAACAAGAAAGGCCAGGTAAGTTATTTTTAAGACTAGTGTTAGAAAACCAAGATATCGGCTTGAAACTAGTGACATGTGTCCATAGGTTACTGTTAAGTTCTTTGTAATGCATAATTAATACAAGTTTTCCAGTACTACATTGTTGCAACAGCTACTAATGTTGATTTCCATGTGCTTTTGTTTATTCTAGGTGAAGAGGAGCATATTTGCATCTCCAGAAAGCGTCAATGGAAAGGTGGGAGTGGGAACGTGTGGTATTGCAGACAAGCCTATGACCCAGTACCATGACACGTCCAAATACAATGTCAGACATCTAATGCCACAATGACCTGATATGACCTGTACATAATAGTCCACTGTATACTAGCTGTATCAGTGCTTTCCATTGTGTTTATACATGATTTAAGTTTCTCGAGTAAAGTAAGCTTTGAAAGTAAGTGCTTGCACACCAATGTTTTGAAATATTGTTGTAGTTTCATATATATATATATATTATTATTATTATCATCATTATTATTATTATTATTAGGCACAACAAATAAAATCCATATGAGGGACTTGCCCTTGATTGGAGCAAGGTCATCTATTATGTAAGAAAAGGAAATGGTGTTTTAGAAAAGCCATAGAGTTTGCTGTTTATCCACTGAGGCCAAATACCATCTGTTTTATTTATAAACATGCGCCTGTAGATGTGGTTTTTGCATTTGAGGCTGGATTTTAAACATTAATGTGTTCTAGGAAAGTCTGAATTAATAATGGTGTTGATTTTGAGTTGGCTGAATTTAAGTTTTCCCTCATTGTACATATAACAGTGAAATAAACATTGTTTTCAGTTTTTAAAGATTTGATCCTTTACATCATTTCACCATCTCAGCAGTGTATTTTAGTTGTGGCCCCGTCAGGTCCTGTAGGTGGTGGCAAAGCGATGTCGTCAACATCAGGTTGCAGCTGTGAATACAACCGATTTTCTCATTTGAGTAACATGATTTTTTATTTTTATTTTTTTCCCTTTTCTCATGTTAGATGCTCAACATTGATAAACTGGCTACACCACAGACCTGACTTACATGTGAAACTTGCTCTGCTCTAATACAACTCTTATAACTTTATTGAACGTTAAAAGTAGGGATTAAAATAGACAGGATTGGGATTTTTCTGTGTAGAGGTTTATTAAGATTTCAAGGGTAGTTATCAGGAACTGTAACAAAGCAGGGGACCAGCAGCACATGTTTTGCAAAAAAGTCACCTTGGATGGCTGATTAAGCACAAGAAAAACATTCTGGGGGTGTGCTTCAACGTACTTCCTTAACAAAAGTCATTTTCATAGTGCATTTTATAGTTTCCCAAACACGTTGGGGGTTACAGGTGCAAGAGTCATATACCCACTTTAAGACACAATTTGGTGGTGATCTACTTAGAAACTGGATCAGAAGAAAGCAGATAAATGGTCTCATTTGGTTTCATGGATTTGAATAGCTCAGCAGTGCAATTCTTTGCGTCAAATACACATCAAATTATCAAGTCTCCAGATTTCAAGGATTTTAGCTTTTTCTGCTACGATACAAACGAAAAAGTTAAACAATGAAGTACAAACCAAAATCTGTGGTGTTTATGTGGTTCATGCTACACACATGGTTTTAAGACTCAATCAAAAGCACATTACAACATGATTAGAAAGGCTACATTCAAATACACATGCACCATAGCGTTTCGAGTCCATTACAATCATTTCACTGTTGATTATGAATAGCTGGTACTACCGCTGGAGCAAGTGGAAAACTATAATTTGGAGTTGGACGGACAGAATAATGTGCTAAACCCAGCCAACACTGAAGATCTATTAAAACTAGAGGCATTATTGCTTGAGCTTTGTGCTTGGACAAGTGCGGGATAGCTTATTACTGTCTAAAAAATTTTAATTCACGCACAGTGTGAAAGCATTTCGAGTAATGCATTAAACTCCTAGCACTGCTTCAGTGGGGATTTTACATCATGTAAGTTTGGTAAACATTTAGAAACAGAAAATAATAAAAGAATTTATCAGCAAGGGTTTTTTTTCCCATTCAAGCATGACCAAGACCTAGCTACAGTACAATTAAATATACCAAAAATAAATATTATATGCAAAATAAATTAGAATAACAAGGGTGGACTGCACCACCTGTCTGTATCTGACTGTATGTCACTTAAGAAGAGGGACGCCACATGGATCGATGATGTTTGTGGGTCCTAAAGCAGAGGTTATAGAAGTATGATAAACCTTTTTGGAATGCAGACATTTTAGCCCTTTCCTCTGACTTGGACACTGACAAGAAGTGCTATCTGGATACATTATCCAAAGAAAAAGGGCCATGTTTTTTTTTGTTTTTACAAGGCAATGGAGCGAACGTTCCCAATGGTGAGTTTCTAGCTGGTATTTGGGATTTTTTTTGTCTGTTTTGCTGGTTTCTGAGGATCAACTTCACTAAAGGTACAGTTTAGCCTTTAGTGTTTGACACAGGTGCATTCATGGGTCCTCTAAAGGATCACTATCAAGTGCAGGTATGGCGGCTTCAAGCTGGTAATGGGTAAAGGGACATTTGGGTGATTGGTTAAGTCATCTTTTAAAGTAAGGAAACCGTATATTGCTGGAGATTTGTGGTCGTGTAAATTGGAGCCGCTTGGCTTTTGGAAGGAGACTGTTTTTAGACTTTCAGACTTGAGCTGAACTTAAGGCTGGTTCTTGGGTGGAGATGTTTCATTTGTCAGGTAAAGATAGGATAGGGGCTGGTTCTTCTGATGACAGATTAGCTAAACGGTAAGGGAGACTGGAGCTGTAGGCTGGTACTTTGACAGGTAAAAGCCATAAAAGACTGCAGCTTAATGAAAGTATAGGCTGGTGCTTTAAGCAGAAAAGGCCAGTTTCAGGCTGCAAGTGGAGTAGCCCTCATCACTGGCGGAGCTCTGTCGGCTGCTATGGTCATCCAGGTCGCTTGCACCACTGGTGCTTACACTGTCCATTTCTCCATGGGAGAACTCAGTGCTTTCCACATCAACTTCAATTTCCTCTGCTCAAACACACACAGACACATAAAAAAAAAGCCAATGAATACAAATCAGTCTCTGCATTTGAAATGAAATGAAGCCTTTAGTGCAAGTACTAACCTCTGTCAGACTCTGAGCGATCAGAGTCCATGCGGGAACCCAGGCTGTCCGTACGAACGCGCTCCCACTCTCCGTGGGTCTGCAGCAGAGCTAGCTGCCTCTGCAGGTGCCTTTGCTCCCTCTCTAAGGTCTCCAGCTGGTGCTGACTCCTCCGGTCTATCTCTTCAAGTTTCTAAAAAGTGGCACGAGTAAGAATTAAAGCCATTGCATTACGCAGAAACCTAATAACGATGTCAGGCAGTCTGTGAGGTTCTTAACCATCCCAGTCGGTGTTTTCAAAAAGCATTTTCAAAGATATCGTTATCACTACACCTCTGTAAATGTTCCTCATGTTTAACATAATATGGAAAGCATGGCAGAATTCTCATGTATGCAGCGAGTTGATAATGTGGTAATATGTACATATATATGGCTGCTGTAAAATGCGATAACCCCCTGCGCTTTCTAATAAATTATTGAACACAGTGACAGCAAGTTGCTGGATGGGATCTAAGGGAATAGATGGTGTCTGTGTGTGGTGGATAAAAGTGAAATATGGCTGGATGGAGAAGGAAGAGAATTCATTTTATGAGCTTCGCTATACAAATGAATCTAAAGGTCACCCCGTCCTGCTTTGGACAAGAGCATTTTGCTTTTGGCCCTCTTAGTTTTAATTTATGCATTTAACCTTCGCCAACTTGGACTCCAGTCCAGTTTAGGTCCACTTATGATTTCCAGTAGTTTTTGTTGGATGTGTGTACTTCAAGCTGTTTACTGCAATTGTAGCTGTTAAGCTACGAAATAACCAAAGTCCTGAAATTCAATTATGAACCTCTGTAATTATACGGATATAAGATCACATAATCCCGGTCATTACGCCCAGTTGTCCCATGAATCAAAGATCATGTATGGAACTATAGCAGCACAGTCCAGATAATTTGCACACAAACCAGCAGTTGAACAAGATTTGCTGCTTATGCGTACATTGAAACTAATGTAATTTCTCCACAGCTGCACATTTATAGTTCCAAGTGGCAGAATGTGTAAAATGAACAGTGATTTTGGGGGAAAGTAATTAATTGAAAAAGGACTGCTTTTCATATTGGCAAAAGCTGTGTATTATATTTCATGTAATGTCCCCTATTATATTATTAAGATAATAAGCATTTGGGACATATTAGCTTGAAATATAAATAAAGATTTTTTTGGCTGTGACACCTGCTTCATTTTACATAAATATGACAAAAATGTATTTGTGGTATTATATTATGAAGGGTAAGACTTTTGACCTGCTAGTTCTGAGTAACGTTTAAATAGACTTGTGTGTTTGTATAATTGAATTTGGCATAATGGCGCCTCCACATAAGTGACAGTAGTACTAGCCTTTCTCTCTGCAGCTCAACAGAGCTTATTATTGGCTGCACCTGCTCCACCTTTTATTGTACTGCACAACCCCTGGTTCCAAAAATACACCGCAGCAGCATTCAAAAGCCTCATTTCCTGGATGTGAAACAGGCAAGTCCAAAGTCAACAGCTGACATCTTAGGTACTTTACTCACTAACCCCGACTGTGATAAACTCTCAGAGCCTGTTGCCAAGCCAGGATTGCTTTCATATTGTAGCCCTTAGTCATTCTTTAGCTGTTGCTCACAGCTGGAAACTGTACAGACGGGGCAAAAAAACAGCACAAATTTTTCCACCAAAGTTTGATCTGAGTTTGCTTGCTGTACTCAGGGGAGCCATTGCATTGAATGATTGAAATCTTTAAGTCTCTTTTAGTTCAGTCAGTCAACCAGTTTTAATAGCAGGATAGCTGCAGTGCTCCTAAGTCCAGGGTTAAGTGTCCCATTCTGATGTTATCCTGCAGTGCTAAAGACACAAGTTCTAATCAAAGACTTACCAAGGCTCAAACCTTGCAAAGGTGAGCCCTGCAAACATCCCCAGGGAGATTTTTTCAAAGGGGTAGAAAAACTCAACCACACAGCAGCTGCCTTAAGGTCCAATCATCTCGGGGTTCTGGGAAAAGTGACTCTGCTCGAAAAATCTCTACTTTACATGTAAACCATCAGCGCGCAAGCATTTAGCGTTGCTTTATTGCTAGTTTATGATAAATGTTGTGTTTATCTAGTCGTATCTTCTCCTTTCCTGGTGTTTAAACTGAGTCAGTTACAATTAAAATCAAACCTTTTCATCCTGCAGCGGCTGCTGGAAATAACACAGCTCTCTCCCCCTGTTTGAGCCAATATACAAAGCAATTTGCTGTAAACAGAATGCCGGCACTGCTGTTGACAGCAACAGGCCTTTTCTTTTTCTTTTATTATTCTTTTTTTTTTTCTTACTGATAATTACCCATGACTGAATTTAGTTGCTTTGGTTTCAGGGTCCTGCTCTTAGTCACGCTTTGCCTATATCCAGGCCTTTGAATCTCACCACTTTGCAGAAACACAGCAGACAGTTCTGTTTGATTTCAGGCCAGTTCATGCTGGCTCGCCGTCACACCGCTATGGCTTGCTGGGACACATTATGTTATTAGTATCACCTGTGTTATTCGTGCTACGACAAGTCAAAGCCCCTGCTGTGAATAAGGCCTTTTTCGGCATGTTGACTAAACGGTTATCCTGTTGCTGCTGCTTTCCCAAAACAATATTAACCAAACTATTAACACGTCGGCAGTCAGGCAGAAAAAGCACGATGTCAGTATGGTTGCATTACTACTTTTCAGAGGAAATCAGCTCTTAGTCCCATTGCAGCACCATACTCCTCCCTTAGACTACCACACCTTGATATGTGCTTTGGCCTTGTTGAGCAGTCCCAGAGTGGTATGCCGACTGCAGTCTGGTCCCAGAGGAATGAGGGACTTCAACCTCTCCAAGCACAGACGAAGATGTGCTCGCCTGAAAATGACATAGAGCAATCTGCATTATTCAATATAATACATGAACAGAAAACTGACTGATGAATTTGCACAGTAATGTATTCATTTGCACTGATCCTCATCCGGTCAGATTATTACCTCCTCATCCAATTTGATTTGTATCTTATTAGAAAAAGCAAAAACTACTTGATTGTTCCTCATCAATTCTATTCAGGATGATGAGTGATGTAAGTGTTAATGGATCCTGGCACTTTATCTGTTTATCCCTTTTGCTCATAAGCTATGCCATCTGACTCCCTTACAATTAAATATGGATCTGTCTGGTCCCAGATTTAAAAACTGCCGAGGTCAGCCTGATATTCTATTTCTGATCCACCAAAGCCTCTGAGCCCGTGGTCTGAATGAATGCAGAAACTGGCAAAGGACACTCACTATCCTTTCAAAAAAATGGTGTAAAATGTAGGTCAAGTCATGATGTCATCTCTTTTCTTCTGCATTGGCCACCATTTTGTAATAGAAAACAGTCCTTTATGAGCCTCCTTGAAGATGCTCTCTTCCTCTTTTCATTTATCATTTAAAGTGAGAATATGTCACACGTGGCTGGGCATTTCATTTTAGGATAAATGTGTCCTGACATTTGTTTCAGAGCAGAGGCTGCCTCATCCTGGAGCTACAGACGCAAGCTGCAGTTAGACCTGCAGCTGAGAATCTCTCACGAAGGAGCCCTGTTGTCTGGAAACAGACGGTTCCCATTTGCTGACTGGGGAAATGTCTGCACGTCCTCTAGGAACAGTGCTGCTTACATCTCCCTTTTATTTTGCCTCGCAAAACGCACTCTCCTATCACACACAACTCATGAAATATCAGAGTTGTTGATAAAAAGAAGGCCTTTTTTTTATAATCCCATGATGATACTATGCTGACTTATAGAACTCTGGTGCGAGTCATGTTGAAAATGCATGGCCAACATATTTAGCATATGACTTAGATATGCAAACAGTTTGAAGCTCCATTTCGAAACAACCGACTGTTGAGATAAACTGCCACAGACGATTAACGACTATGGGCGTGTTGTCGTTCTTTGTCCATCCTTCATCCTCACAGTCAACTTGTTATGCACAGGTAACAACGAAGGAAGTATGACTCGCAACATTTCATTGTCTTTATTTTACCCTCTTTAGTGCAGTCTTCACCTGTCTGCATTATGTGTTTCTAACCTAAACATGCATATAAGTGACCTCCTCTGTGATTTTTCACTCACCTGTTCTTTTCCAGTTCATTGTGTGCCGACCTGTTGAAAATGATAAATATATAACCAGAACGGTCACATGGCTTAAATATGCAAAATACAGCATATGCATATAAATATATTTCAAGACTTTAACCTACCTATTGTGAATATTGTCCAGTTTCCTGTTCTTCAATTTGCGTTGTTTCTGTTGAAGTGAAATCTGGGTTGCGGGGTATGTTGAAGCATACCCGTGCTCACATTCTGGTGATAGAAGAAAAAAGATAAAGAGGATTAAATATGCTACAAGGAAGAAGATGGTTGGATTTGAGCAATGGCAACACATCCTTGGAATGACTAAAATTCGGTGCAATGCACAAGCACACCTTAAAAAGTGTCCACGCATATATACATATAGTTTCATTTAGAGCGAGACAATTTAAACTTAACAAGAACAGTCCAGACTGAAGAGCAAACGCTTGGAAACAGCTCTCAAGCAAGAAGAATTTAACAAATCACACAAGAACTACTGTTCCCAGAAACCTCGCCAGACACAATCCTGCACGCGATTGGTCAACTGCAGTGACACTCGCGTTGGGAACATGGATCCTGACCAATGAGAACTTTGCAATTTGTTCCATGTGGAAACCATGTGAACAACACATACAAGGAAGCAGATGCTGGCCGAGCAAACCCGCAGTTGGATTTCGAATTAGGAATTTTCATTGGAAATTTTAAAAAAAAACCCACATTGCAGTCTAGATCAGAGAGGGCGTAAATGCGAGATTTCCGAGTGGATGTGATGTTTTAGGAGCGCAATCTTAAAATTAGCTGTGAGAGAATGATAGAAAAAAAGAAGTATAAACTGGATGTCTCGTGTCATAAACGTCTACATGTATGAACGTAAATGCGCACACATGCATGGCTGTGCTAGTTCATATAATGAATACACTAAACCGTGCGTTATGAGCCGGTCTGCGTCTCCCACGGTCTGCAAAAACACCGGTTTTAATGGGAGCGGATCGCTGCAAGGCTATTGTTGCGAGGCTGTCTCCGCTATGCGATTGTTTCCCGACTTCCAAATTTCGGTGATTTCTGGAGTTCTTCGAGTGGTCATATTACGCAGGATAAGTGTGAGGCCGATTGAGACCGCACGCTTTCCCAGTAGCAGGTAAAACATGACGGGCTGCTGTCGGGCTGCGCGTCTTTTGTCGCCTTCGCCTCTATTGTTGTCTGCTCGGCGCATTACGTGTTAATATCCCCTGCAGCCCGTGTTTACTTACTTCCGTTGTTCTTCTCAATGTTTTCAATGTAATTGGCTGCATCGAGCAGCACTTGCACGTTCTTCATAAAAGTGCCGATTTGGTCCATTGCGGAACATTTGGAGTATATAACGTCGCTGAAAGAATAGTCGGACATCTCTCCGAAATCCTGCTGGTCCATGGACGCATCAGACTCCGACATGACCTCTTCGGGTTTCAGCTCGCTGTGATGTCTCATGTACTTTACCATTTTTTCTGTTCTTTCTTTGTTTCTTTTTTTTTAACTTTAGGCTTTTGGGGGGGCTTTGACAAATACGCAGCGCTGAAATTGCTCTCCTTGTTCCGTCTGTGCGCTGAGCGGATGACTGAAATGAACTAGGCTGGATGGAATTGCAGTCCTTAGCCTCAGCCACTTGCCCTACTTGGTGGATAATCCCTCCCACTAACGCATGCACATTGCATTCATTGTCAACCGTGCCATAATAAATCCTCATTATCAATACTGCAAGAGAGTAACAAATAGCACACTTGTGTCCAGTGACATTCTGCAATAATGGCTGCTTTCATTTGTAATAAAGCTGCATTATTTTAGCTGCCATAAACTGGATAATCATGACAAATGCTCCTTTTCCCATGTGCATTCAGTTATCTCTAAATATGTATGTGAACAGAGTTTAAAAGTGAAAAAGCATTAAGATCAAACAGCAGATCTAATCAATAGTTCAACCTGGATACCGGGGACAACTGCCAGGGTTGGTCTTGGTTATAAATATGTAATCACTTGGGGCTTTTGTGTTGTTAAAGGGCCCCACATGGTCCTGCTTCAATGCTGGAACCGCACACTATTCCCACATGCTTTTAAATGTGCTCTGTAATTAACATCTATACACATTTGTACACGGGGATAGCAGTTTAGGGAGCTACTTGTGTCGCTTTCATGTTGCACCGCGTTGTCATCCCATCCTCACAAAAAACAGATACCTGTGCGAGATTTGAAAGCCGATTGAATGCAGTACAACATGCAGAACTCAGGTGTTTGATGTGATAATTTTAGGTGACTCGTTTACTTCCTGCTGGATTGGAAAATTGAGTTTTGTGAGGGGAGTGCGGGTGGGGAGGGGGATTCTTGGCGTAAATCAAATGAACTCATATTAGTTCAGGTGCAGTTTGTTTGCCATTATTTGCATTTAATAATCTCATTGTTTGCCCCCCTCTCTCTGGGTGTCTTTTCCTGGTTCCAAAGCAGTCTAAACTCACATCGAGATTAAAAGGAAAGTTGCAAACAAGTGAAAGGATTTTTAGGAACAGGCACAGCCAATCCTTGTGTAGAAATGTCTTTACTTTACTAAACTTTAAAGTTATCTGCAATTTTCAAAAATTAACCTTGAAATTGAACCTTTTTCGAGCTTGATGCTCCACTTCTGTTGTCCCTTTTGAGAGATTAAGAAGTCATTTTGCCCCACACTGGGAGGAATGGAAGAGAACAGAGGGGGGAAAGGGACTGCCTTTACAAGGCCAGCCATGCGTGCAGGGCTGTGTTGTGCCTCTGAGACAATGGGTGCAGATGGCTGGCCCGCTGCAGATGTGGTCTGGCCTGTAACGGACGCCTGTGAGAGAGTACACCATCCCATAGAGGCTTTAATAAGCCTGGCGAGGCCTCTCACATAGACACTGAAACAGTGACGCACACTTCAGGGACACATATTCTTGCAAATACAGGTCTGTTTTGACTCATAGGCACTGCATATTTCTCTCCTAATATGCAATAAGGCTTTTGTTACTGGAGCATGTTTAGCATATAAAACAACAACGCCAGTGTACACTCAGACATCATCTACTGCTACACACATGCTCAAAAGGACACACAAATCGAGTGAGACATGGACAGAGAGTTCAGTGGGGGATGGAAACTGACAGCATTTTACCAGGAAAAGACTCATCTGTGCTGTGAGGCTTGTGTGCAGACTGATTCTGCGTGCTGCACACTGATAGCGACTGTGGAAAGCTGACCCGCTGTAGGTTGGTGTAGAATGTGACCCCAACTGGAGTAATCTGAAAAGCCTGAGGATTACACCAGTGGCTCAGTTGTCACAGAGGAGGCAAAGTCACACAGTGCTGGAGTGTGTATAGGCTTGCTTTTATAAAAAAAGAATATGCCAAAAATCACACATAAGGGAGAATGATCAATTCTGGGTGTTGTCAAAAAGGCAAATATATTTATTTATTTTTTTAAATGCAGGGGACTCTCTTTGATGTTACCCTGTTAAGATGATGTTTTCAGACTATCCATTGTACCACAGCAGTCTCCCGTTGTTTCAAAACAATAGCTGCACTTTGCCCCGAGGTCACAGTAGGACAATAAAGCAGACCAGACGTGTGTCACCTGCTCCGTCCTCTCCTTAGCACTGTCAGGATGTGGATGAGGTCAGCAGCAAGCTTTTTCCCCCCTTATTTATTCTTAATAACCATCAGTCTTTGTTTTTACATTAAACTTAAAATCATGTTTATGTTTTCTTAATTATCTCTTTTTATTGTTGTTGTTGGTGGTTTTACACAGTTAAATGCACTGCCTTAAAACTTTTCTCCCTATTACATCTCATAGAAGGTGAGATGTGTGTGTGGTTTGGAGGAGGTTCAGATCCTGTCACTCCCCCCAACATGAACACCTGTTGGAGACACCAAATCCTCTCTTTGTCTCTGCATCTCCCCCCTCTCAGTGGATTACTATGACAACGCCCATTCATATCATGGCTGAATGCTGATTATACAGCTTCACACAATTATCTCTGAATAGAATATATTGTTTTAGGGGAGCTCGCTTTTTCTTTTTTGAAATTAGATGCAGAGGCTGTGTAAACAGTTCCCAAGATGTATTTAATATAAGAGGTGTTACTCCATCTGGTGAAAATGGCTCAGGTTTTGTGATGCATCACTGTCCAACAACATCAAAAATCTCCTCATGTTTGACTGATTCCCATGTAAATACTCCACAGGGTATTTGTGCATACTTCTGCAGTAGCCAGTAGGTTTGTGAAGAGGCGATCAGCTAACTAAAAGACAACATAGTATTTGTGCATACTTCTGCAGTAGCCAGTAGGTTTGTGAAGAGGCGATCAGCTAACTAAAAGACAACATAAAATTACAATTTAATCATAGAATTAAGTAGATCTGGACAAGTTTGTGCACCAAAGTCATAATTAACAAAAGCAACCAGGAAACAGCTAAAAGTAAGGCTGAAATCATAAAAACAAATAAGTGATACATTTTTTTAAAATGAAATGGCAAGCTAAAACTATGGATAACTAGCTAAGATTGTTCACTAGTATAAATAAGTTCCTGACATTGTTTCCCAAAAGTAAACCAGGCATTTAAAATGGTTTGCTAAAAATCTGGCTAACCAGTTAAAATAGCAAAATATTAGCATGGATAAACTGTTGAAACTGTGAAAGTAAAGTCAAAAGAAAGAAATACTTTATCCAAAATTTAGAAAATACTTTTATTAGAGCAATTAATAAACAAAAATATAAATACATACAATCATATGTGGCTAAATAAAATAATAAAAACAAAACTCTATAGTGCTAGCTAAATGCTATAGATTCACAGTTTGAATAAGAGTATTGATAAACAGTTGAAATTGTTAGCCAACAGTATGGATAACAGTTTTATAAAGACATGGATTAAGTTTTGAAGAATTGGCTAACAGTATAAACTGCAGTAATCATATTAAGAAAGTACACCCTCTTTTAAATTAGATGTTTTAGGTTTCAGGACATGAAAATATCTTGGCTTTTAACAGATCTTATAATGTGATCAATGCAGTCTCACATGAACAACAACACATTACATATTATGGCTTGTAATTATTTATTTATCAAAAACTGAGCTGAAATTTAGCACTGATGAAAAACTAAACACACCCCTACTTCTTCCATAGGAATTAAAAGTAGGAGCCAGGTGCTGCTAATTAGTAAGTATGAACACCTCCACTGAAAACAGTCGTTTTTGGCAGTTTGACGGTCTGGAGCAGTCGGTTGTGTTGCTAACGATCTTAGAGAAGCAATTGTTGCCGCTGAACAATCTCCGATGGGTTATAAGACGATTTCAAGACAACTTAAGAAAATGAAACAAACAAACAAAAAACCCAAGAGGTGTATTTCGGACTCAGTTACACTGCAGGCTTCAGTTAGCATGTTAAATGTTAAAGATCGTGAAAGTACAAAAAGAAAACAAATGAAAGTGTGGTTTGTATGAAAAGCTCTGGAGTTCCCTTTAAAAAAGTTGCATGTCAGCAACTCATAAGATGTCTGGAACAATGGCTTTTGGATACACAACAACAAGGTGGAGTTAAGTGGTTATTGCGCAGCTCGACACTTGGAGAGAACCAAAACAGCAAGGTGGTGGAGGGGTGATGATCAGGGCTTGTTTTGAAGTCAGATGATCTGGGCACCTTACAGTCATTGTGTCAGCCATGGACTCCTTTGTATACCAAAATATTCTAAAGTCAAATGTGAGGCCATCTGTTCAACTGCTAAAACTCAGAGTTGTACAACAGGACAATGATCCCACTGCAGCAAATCTACAACAGAATGGCTGCAGACCCAAAGAAGAGTACGCTTAAATTCCTCAGCAATTTCAGAGACTAAAGTTATGCAGGAAACAATTACAAGTTTTGCTGCTGAAGGCGTTGAATCATAGGAAGTACTTACTTTTGCACACACTGCTTCTGCATTTTGCTCAGTTAAAAAAAAAAAAAAAATAGTGATACAGTATAATAACTCTCATGTTGTTGCTCATTTGAAGTTGCATTTACTTAATTTTAAGGTCTAATAAGGACTAGATAATGTCCTGATATGTAATACTTTAGAAGTGGCAAATGGTGCACCTTTTACCACGAGTGTGTGTAAAATGTTACAAAGTGGATTAACAGTTTAAATTTGTCACCAAGTCATGAAATAAATGACTGTTAAACAGAGTCATAGCTAAATGCAGTCGGTGAATAGTTTAAAGTTGTAGATATCTCAGTTTAAACATCCAACAGATCTAGTTTAAGATGAGTTCAAATAAAGCGATTTAATGACGAAAACAGTTCATGTAAAATTTTGACTGTATAACAATTCTGCGTGCAAAAAGATCGGGAACCACTGCTTTAAATGATCGAGCATCTTTCAGCTAATAACCGAGACAGAAACAGAACAGTTATGGAAACATATCCCAGCTTTTATTAAATCAGATCGTTAAATCAAGGCATTGTTAAAAGGCTGACTTTGAAGCAAGGTGACTGAAAGAAAAAAAAAGGTGATACAAACAGCAATGTAAACAACAGAGGAAGAACAGCATTAAGCACACTAATTACACAAGTAATACAGTTTGTAAACACAAAGCGCTCTGCATGTTCAGTAAATAAGGAGCTTAA